TGATGCATGACTTGACTATCTGAGACACTCCTGACTTAGTCTCACTCGACAGGATCACCCCTGCACTCCGGTCATCGTCCCCGAACAGTAACGAGCCGGGCACGACGAAAATGTCGCGAGTGGACTAGCAAAACCGGGTAGTAGCCGTAGCCTGACTACTATGTACGTACACAAGCCCAACATGATGAAAACCCGTTGGACCCCAAGGGTTCCTGTACGGGCCCACTGTAGTAGGCGCACGAAGTCCTCCCTACAGCGGTATGCACATGATGAAACCTAAGACATGCGTCTAGAATGAACATGATGAATGCTTGATATTTTTACCTATGGTAAATGCCAAGAATATATTAATTATACAACATTTAAAAAGAAATAAAGATTTGCTTTTCATGCAAGGAACGTTCAGATTCTGGGTCAACGGGCTCGTTTTACAAACTGCCCGGGAAACTGCCCGAAGGACGGTCGACCGTACCCTAACGGCGGCCGACCGTGGACTGCGTTGTTGTTGTGGGGGACTGGATGGCCGACGGTCCACCGTGGTCTTCCGTCATGGCCGGCGGTCGACCGTCACGGTGGTGACCGTCGGTTTGGCCTTGGGAACGGTCCACCGTCCATAGCGGCGGTCGACCGTCCCGGAGGCAGTCTGCCGTCCTTTGTTCCGTTTTGGTCCGTTTTGCCAATTTAACACCTAGATTCTTTTTAGAACAAAAGCATAACATCTACGAATATATTTCTAGTGATTCCTAGGCTAGAATTTATAGGTTTGCATAATGAACATGTTGATGATTATCCTACGTACATGCATAGGTTCTACGTAGGTTGCGTACGATACTACTACGAGTATAACGACAAGGATTATAACTAAATGTTCTAGAATTAGAGGGGATAACTACTCACCTCTAAACGAAGGGATTGATGAAACGAGATGAACGAACGGTGCTAACGAACGAACGAACGACGACTACGCTTCGCACGAACGACCTGGCTCTTCTTCTCCTTCAACCTTGCACCCACCGGAGTTTCGCCGGAGGTCTTCCTTTGCTGCTAGACTGGTCGAACAATGGGGGAGAGGAAGAGAGAGTGAGAGTGATATTTGGGAGTTACAAAGTGGAGAGAAAATTGAAGGGAGAGATGGGGTTTTAATTTAATATAATGATTATGGAATAATGGTGATGGTAATGATGGAGGTTAGGGGTGGCGTATGGGATTAATTGGGGGGTTACAATGTTTATTCTACTCCGAAATGTAAAATCTGACCTGAACGATACACGCTTTTTCCCCCAAACGGGTCCGAATTGAAATCCGTTTGCGTTTCTGGAATCAGACAGTCAAGACGAATTTAATGATATGATCAAATAATTTTTCTAAGAACTTTTCATTTTCCCCAACTCCGGTCCGGAATAGTAATTAATTATTTAAAATAATCAACTCTATTAGACCGGGTTGCAGGGCGTTACAAAATTATACTTTTATTTGAGTTTTAGTTTTTGTGTATGAACATAAAAGTATTCACAAAGATTCAATATACTCCTTTGTTGTCGTTTATTTTTTTAGTTTGTGAAATATAAAATAAGTTTTGATACGCATCTCTTGCATTTAAATATTCATTTTTTTTAATTTTTCATGTTTTTTTATTTAAATTCACTTTTAATTTTCAAAAATAAAGGGGCGTTGTTAAGTTTTAAGGTGTAAAGTATGTATGTATATTCATCCCGATTTGTACCGAAACCGATACCGAACCATCCCGAACCATACCAAACCGATATTTCGGGATCGGGATCGGTACGGAGTAAAATCCCATACCGAACCGAAATATTTGGTACGGTATCGGTACCAGCTAAATACCGTACCAAACCGTACCATGCTCACCCCTAATTTTGTATGTAATCAGAAACTCTGAGAATGCATTGTATTCAAAACAAGTGTAACACAAATATGAGAAATAATTTGCCTTTGCAGGATTCAAACCCACATCTGTAGTACATACCGCTCTACCATTTGAGCTAATAGGCAACTATTTATTTTTCAAAAAAAAACTCATCTTGCCCTTGGACCTATTAAATACATATTTTAATCTTTTAAAAATTGCATCATTTAATGTGGTTTTAACTCATATTTAAATGTATCACAGAATATTTTAAATGCATCATTATTTGGAGAAAATTCACTATATAGAATAAACATATGCATCATATTTGTATTAGGAGAATTTCACCATCTCATAGATGAATTTCACTTTGATTCTAAGAATGCAGAGTAATGGAATGCATTATCCTTACCTTGTTTCTATAATGCACTGGATTATCAGGTAAATGCATTACATATATCCAGATAATGCATAATTGAAGGAATCCATACTTTGGTCATTAAAATTTAACTATAATGCAAAGCATATTACACTACACCTTAAATATTCTATGATGCATAGCTAGAGTGAATAATATGCAGTTAGAACAAGTACCCTACTCAATAAATCAATATTAGTGTTTTTGTTGCACTTTTTATAATGCAAAATATGGGCGTAAAGGATGCAATAGAATAAAAAATACAAATTAAAAACAAAACTTTATGATGTGTGAAAAAAAGTTCAAAGCTAATTTAGTGTAACTTGCTCACTACGATTCCGAGAATGCATTATCCTTTATTATTAGAATGCATTTCTTTCTTTGGTAAATGCATTATCTAGATAGTGATAATGCACAATAACAGAATCTCAAGCGAATTTTATACTTGCGGTACACTCAGAGTATGTTGGAGTTTGCATCAAAAACCTTAACATGAGATCACAATATAGTTTAAAGTTCTGCTAGATACAATGCAAAAAGTTGAGCAATACCAAACTTATTATACAAAATACTTCACTTTAAATTTACCTAAAACATAATTTTGGACAGTCTAAAATATAATGCTA